TATACATATATATATATACACATCACACGTAAGTATGTGTACTCCAGCGGGATACTCCAGACACCAACAGAAACCTGTCTTGCATCGCAAAGGCGCAGTGATGTGGGTGTTGGGTGCACTTGCCCTCCTCAGTCTCAGGTGCTCCAACATTTCCAGGAGGGCACGCCCATTATCTTCACGGACATTCCTGTCGCAGACTGGCGATGAACATCAGAACCGAATCCTAGCAATTGCAAGAAAACGGACACTGAGAGTAATGAAACTAACAGCCTATGCGTAGTTTTCTAAATTCGGGTCCGTTTTAGGGTCCTATTTTTCCGAGTGCCGAACTATATTTGGCACCTAAAGAGGGACCCTAATTTAGAGAACTGCTCATTGCTCATATGGTATTTCGAAGTGATGGCCGGGGCAGATGTTTTGGACCTGTCACTCGTCTCGAAAAGGTTTAGGCTTATGGCTTGTGATTCAGAATCACATCTTCTTAAAGAAATCCTCACGAGGCTTAAGGCAACCCTGAGCCTGATCCTTTGAGAAACTTTAAGGTTTAAGGGCTTAGGGTTTAGGGTTTAGGGTGCGGGGTTTTCGAGGTGTGGACCCTGTTCGTTGAAGCCCTGTTGCCGCATCGATCCTCTACGTTTGGGCCCTGAGATCCATTGTCAGTCAAAGCTTCCTTGGCTTGGAGCTGCCATCCCAGTAGGTATTAGATTACAGCACCAGCAGCTAAACACAAATACGCCGACACCGAAGCGGCAATGGTCATTCAGCAATGTTGGGGGCCTTAAGAACAAGGTTTTGGGATACGTTGTAGTGTCTTCCCTTGTGGAATCCTTTCGTCAGCTGAACCTGCATGGAAGCTTAAGGAAATTTTGCAACGGACCTCAGGACCATCACAGCAGCTGCTGTCCCTCCTTAACGTGGCGGGGATAGGAGCGAAGGGGTCCATCAGGGTTCCTGTAAGGCTTGTTGCTCTGTTTTCGCTTTTGCTGCTGAACTTTTTCCCTAAACCCTAAACCCTAAACCCTTCTTCCCAGTTCTTCTGGAAATGCGGAAGAGGGGGGGAATTGGGGTGTACAGAGACAGCGAATAGGACGTCGGGCCGGCATCCCACACCCCTGCGGACCCCTTGAAGACCCCTTCTAGAATCCTCAAAGGTACGGAACCTTCATGGTAATTACCCTTGTGAAGGAACTCTCATAATCATTCCCCCTAAAAGAACTCTTGAAGGAGGCCTTAAGGAACCCTTACAGAAACAACTGCAACAGCAAGAGCCAGAATCGAAAACCATAAGTGTCACAACAGCCGGCCAGCAAACTCTTCACTGTATCATTCCGAAAACCACCCAATCTTTCCCACCGAGCAGCATATACAGCTGCTGCACATCACAGTCTGCTTTTCAGCTTGAGCCACATTGGTGACAATGTCGGACAAATCCGCTTCCCGCCTGTGATTACCACAATGCGAAAATCTTCTGGTGCATGGTGTCGAGTGGAGCCTGTAACACCTTTTCTATCCGTGCCTTCTTTTAGTCTGCGCCCACACCGCCCCAAACGGCAGCTGCAAAGCTTAGTTAAAGGGGCCAGGGTTGCAGCCGTCGATCTTGCATGATAGATATTCTGTCTCCCTCTCGCCATATCCTACTGCTGCCAACTGCTGCCAACCTTCTTCTAGGCTATGTTTCCAAATGCTTCTGGCAGACATTGAGCTGCGACAAAAACTCAGCTCGAATGCTTTGCTTGCTGCTCCTTCTGCAACATATGAAGCTTTGATGCCCTTGCTTGCTCGACACGCCGGCTGCCCGAATTCCCCCTTTGTCAGCTCACTTTGTGGACGAAAGGTCGCAGTTCTGGCCTTCCGTCGTATCTGAAGTGAGCATTGAGCTTGTCGCACGCATTACCATACCCCCGGCCAACAGCTTCTCGGGTGGCCAAGCTCGACCAGACGTGCGCAAACATCTCGGCATACTGCAACTTGTTGCATTCGGGCAACGTAACAAATCCTCATGCCAAAGCCTAACTTATTGTGTGTCGGCTCGACTGCGTGGACGCAAAGCCTCCGTTCTGGCTTTTCGTCGTATCTGTTGCGGGACTGAGCCTGTTGCACGCATTACCGTACCCCCGGCCAACAGCTTTTCGAGTGGCCAAGCTCGACCAGACGTGCGCTGCTAAGTCTGCTTGCTTCTAACATTCTGCAACATGTAAGCGAAACTTTGCTTTCTTGACATGCCGGTTGCCTGAATCCCCCTTTGTCAGCTCAACTTGTGGACGAAAGGTCGCAGTTCTGTCCTTCCGTCGTATCTGAAGTGAGCATTGAGCTTGTCGCACGCATTACCATACCCCCGGCCAACAGCTTCTCGAGTGGCCAAGCTCGACCAGACGTGCGCAAACATCTCGGCATACTGCAACTTGTGGCATTCGGGCAACGTAACAAATCTTCATGCCAAAGCCTAACTTATTGTGTGTCGGCTCGACTGCGTGGACGCAAAGCCTTCGTTCTGGCTTTTCGTCGTATCTGTTGCGGGACTGAGCCTGTTGCACGCATTACCGTACCCCCGGCCAACAGCTTTTCGAGTGGCCAAGCTCGACCAGACGTGCGCTGCTAAGTCTGCTTGCTGCTATCCTTCTGCAACATGTAAGCGAAATTTTGCTTTCTTGACATGCCGGTTGCCTGAAGCCCCCCTTTGTCAGCTCAACTTTGTGGACGAAAGGTCGCAGTTCTGGCCTTCCGTCGTATCTGAAGTGAGCATTGAGCTTGTCGCACGCATTACCATACCCCCGGCCAACAGCTTCTCGAGTGGCCAAGCTCGACCAGACGTGCGAAAACACCTTTGACTTTGCTTGCTTTCCCACATGCCAAAGCCACCACCCAAGGCCCTGTGGCATCATGACGCAACGGCATTTTTGCGGCAGCTAGCGAGCTCAGTAGAAGTTGGTATAGGGGCCTCAATAATCAGAATAGGGTTTTGGGCGGGTAGGAACCTTACTACACCCTTCTAGAATAAAGTCCCAAAGAAGGCTTGGTGTCTATTGTACCAAGGCGTAGGGTTTAGGGTTTAGAGCTTACCCCTACACCCTAAAATCCCTAAACCCTAAAGCCGTAAATCTCAATTCGAATCACGCTCTCCTTTTTGTCCTCACACCACGGCACAACGCTTGTAGATTGCAGCCCTAGCCATGAAAAGCCTCGGTGGGCAGAGGGTTGCCGGAGGAAGGTGTTCCTCAATATGAAAGCATATCATAGTATGCTATGTTTAGGGTTTAGGGTTTAGCATATCATAGTGTATAAGAGTATATGAAAGCATATTATAGTCTCAATATGAATCATATCACAGTATGCTGTAGTACCTTAGAGTCCACTTTGATCTGCTCCTGTCTGTTATCGTCGAACAGTGTCTTTTCTCCGTCTACTGTCGTCTGTCATCGTAGCGCAGGGTCTTTGAATTTCGGATTGCCTAGGGCTAACCTAAACCCCAAACCCTGAACCCTAAATCCTAAAGTTCTTTAGAGCAGTCAGGCTTCCTTGGCCTCTAGTGCTGGTGGATCACGTCCAGTCAAATGTCGTCGAAACATTGCACAGAACCGCAGTAAGCCAGCGCGTTGACAGCCCCAAGGTTCTACACCGCGAGCCCTAAACCCTAAATCGCAATCCCCAAGCACTAAATTCCCGGTATCCTAAACGCCGAAAGAAAAGCAGCAGACCCGAAATGACACAAAAACCCTCATCCTAACGCCCCTAAACCTAGCCTGAAGCCCTAAACCCCTGTGGACGGGTGGCTCCTCACTGGGCATTCCCTCGAGTCGTAAGACGGGAGTCTCCCCTGGCAGCTTCTCAGATCTTCAAAACCCGAGTTTAGGGTTTAGGGTTTAGAGTTTAGGGTTTAGGGTTTAGGGTTAAGGCGTATACCTTATATGTTAGCAGGATCCTTAATCTGATATAATGTAGGGGCCTTAATAATTACCTATACTCTTTTGGGGCGGGTGTCCTTGCTATATCAAAAGTATGATATACCCCCAAAGCCTATTCTAATTCTTACGGCCCCTATATTACTCCTTAATTTCTTTAAGGGACTTTGGAAGATCGGGGTTCTCAACACTTTTCATTTCACGCAATCTACCATGGGATACACACATATACCATGGCAGACTGCAGTAGACGACAACATGCTACACCATAATCCACTGTAACATACTATATAATACAATAATCTAATACAATATACCATCATACACTAGTACAATATACTATAACACACTTTAACTGACTATACTACACTATACTGTACTAAGGTTTACTGCTGTGTACAACAATAAGTATACTATAAGTTGCTGTAATGTACTATACTGTAAGATACTCTGATATACGCCGGGCTTTGCTGTCGAGGCGCCTCAGGAAGCTAGCCAGCCTCATCATGTCCCGTACTTCATACGATTGAAGGCTGCACGAGAAAGACAGGGGCCTGAATAAGATTACCATATAAGGTTACTACCAGGGTTCTATAGGGTATAGGGACGCTCAAGAACCGGTTTGTCTGCGAGAGCAGAAATCCCGCGCCTCCAATACCCAGGCCCCAATGCAAAAAATCTTTGACCTTGTAAACCTCCCATCCCTGAACCCTAAACCTGACAAAACCTGAACCCCTAAAACCCGTAGACCTTAGCTCAACCTCTTGATTTGGAACCGTCGGTAGAACAGCGTGACCCGTGAACCTAAATACCACAACACACGAATCTTACACCAACAAACGCACTATAGCACAATATAGTGTAACATGATATACTATACCATCGTACGCGATAGTACACTATAGTACACTATAATGCACTACAATACACTTAACTACACCCTAACATACTTCGTCTCAAAGATAATGCAAAATACCTCCTGCAACTCAGAAGCCATCAATCTCCCTCTCTTCCCAGCCCTTGGTTCAGGGTTTAAGGTTTAGGGTTTAGGACCCAGCGCGCTTGTAGTGGCATGGAAACTGCCGACAATGGTGATCCGGATTCGATCTCTGAGGCTTAGAACCATGATCATGATGACAATCATCATGATGATGGTGGTGATAATGATGGTGGTGGTGGTGGTGGTGGTGATGATGATGTTGATGCTGATGATGTTGATGCTGATAATGATGATGATCATGATCATTGTTCATAATCATGATTATGATCATGATCGCGATCGTGATCATGGTCATGATGATGACGGCGATTTAGGTTAGCGTTCAGGGCATTATGCTAGCCCATGACACACACACACACACACTCAGTCATCACCGCAATCCTAAACACTAAACAGGCTCTAAACCCCAAAGCTTAAACTGCCTAAACCCCAAACTTCCTAAACCCTCAACCCTAAAGCCAAAGCCCTAAGCCCTGAACACTGAACTTCCTAAACCCATAACCCTGAACCCTAAGAGCCCGAATAAGCAAAACCGGGAGTCGGATGGCCTTGTGAGGACTTTGGCTTCCAACCCACGGCTGCGCCTGTCAGGAACGGCCCCGGTTTAGGGCTTGCGGGCTTTAGGGTTTAGGGCTTTCGGGCTTTAGGGTTTAGGGCTTTCGGGCTCTAGGCTTTAGGGTTTAGGGCTTTCGGGCTCTAGGGTTTAGGGCTTTAGGGTTGAGGGCTGTAGGGCTTTGGGTTTAGGGCTGTGGGGCTTTAGGGTTTGGGGCTTTCGGGTTTAGGCTTTTGGGCATTAGGGCTTGGGGTTTAGGATTGAAGGCGTGTTTGAGCTTAGGGTTTTAGCCCAGAGACTCCAAAACCCTTAATTAAGGAATATACCTTAAATCATATTAGGGATCCTATTATAATTTAAAGTCTATTCCTCAATTAAGGGGTTTGGGAGTCTCTAGGAAGTCTTCGGACCCTAAACCCCAAAGCCTAAACCCTAA